CCCCTGTCCCCCGTTGGCTACAACTGGGTGCCATGGCAGCGGGGTTGGCTGCAAAACAGCCATTGTGACAATGCGATCTTAATTGGATTCAGCTAATTAGAATTTATTGCCAGGAGTTCTGTTAGCAAGAAGAAAGGGAAAATTATCTGCATTAATAGACAATGATGCCTCCCACAGAGAGCAGCACTACACCACATGACCGTTTCAGAAGCAGTTGTGCACTGTGTGAGCACGACATTGACAGCGCTCTCCCCGCCTCTCCACTCGCCCCTCAGAAGGACCCCACGCCAAGGCCTGACCGTGCGCAGGGACTTACCTTTGTATATATTTAACACTATGGTATCAACAAAATATGTTGCTTAAGGTCAGAATTAGGATATAAGTTTCCATTCAAGACTTTTTTCTTTTTTCGAAAGGAAAGATTTTTAGTATTTTGCATCTCAACTGGAAGTACAGAAAGAATGTGCGAGGTTGAAGTCAGGCCTGACCTTGCCGCTCAGAGGAGTTTGACGACAAAGTCAGACAGAGATAGTCGGATGAAGAATTACTATATGGGTCAGCTGATGGCATGGCGGTTAAGGCAGCTGAATCTTACATGGCTGACTGTGCAGTTCGAGTCCCAGACCTGGTGGCTTAAAAACCATGCTGGGTGCATGTACATGCGTGCGTGCCCTAAATCCTGAGAGAATGGAGAAGGGATTGTGGCATGGCTATCCCTCCTGGGGGGGATTTTTAACGGGTGCTTTTTTGGTCTCTCCCCTCAACCTTCTGACAAGTGCATACGTCCTAAAACAAACAAAACAAAAACAAAAAATATGCCCAGAAAAAAGTCTTTTTTTACAGTAGGACTATTCATCTTCCCTCCAACAGAGACTAACTCATGGCCAGAAACAGCAGAGAGAGCTAGCGAGGACTTTTACCATCTGCCCTTTCCTGTCATAGAGGTTGAAACTGCATCCGCTGGGGGCTATCCTCCTCAAGGCAGGCTAGCCCAAGTGGGTCCTCGCAGCAAGCTCTCGCCTGTCTTGCGGTCTCTGAATCAGCATAGGCTCTAAGTCATTCGCTAGATCAGCTAAAGACCAGCTAAATAATTACGTAGTGTCATGTTCAGTCTGACACGTGAACCACAAAAAGATCTGGGGAGGAGTCCTGGACATGTTTTTTTTCTTCTTCTTCTTCTTCTTCTTCTTCTTTGAAGTCTCCTTAGAGAATCTAAATCTGGCCAGTAACAGTAACAGGAGTTGACAACGTCCTCAACAGTTCTGCTCTTCGGGGGCAGAAATAGCTTCCCACACACCAACTCCTCACAGGAGCTACGTGAGCCCTGAATCAATTCTTTTCTTCCTGGGAATACTCTAATTACTGTTCAACGAATGTACTGACGATTGGAAAAGTCACGCATAGAAGAACACGTCATGACTTTTCTAGTGACCGAACACATGCAGGTAGTTACCGGCGTATTTTACATTCTTTCTTTTGTTTTCTCAGCTTAGTGTTTCCATTCAGGACATTTTATCTCTGTGCAAGGACAGGAGTCGAAGCCGATGAGTGGATCAAGATTCTACGTTGGAAAATGGTGAGTTACGACAGTCCTTGCTGTCTGGCTTGGATAAATAGCGTGTCGATGATTTCAGATGTTTCTCTTGAGAGTCGGGCTATGCCTGAGAATCAAAGGGAGGTCTGCCCACAGGCTGTGACTAGTTTGTCGTCTGTTTGTTCTTCTGGGACAGGGAAACAGATGGAGGCAGAGGTGTCATAGGGAGAGAGTGGAGCCATCCTCTGTCTTAGTCTTCAGCCCTTAGCCTGGAGCCCAGCATCCATCGGTCTGGCTGTTAGTACTGTTTGGTGTAAATGAGAACATTTGGGACCAGAACATCTCACAGAGGAAAGTGCACATATTTCTGAGGTTGAAAAGCCCTTTAACTTGTCAGAGGAGGAAGTCGGCCAAAGAAACTTAGCTTAGTTTCTAGCGTGTCATTTGTGCAGGTCACGCTAAAGAGTGATTTATTGTATTGGCTGTCTATTACCTTGTAGGGGAAAGAAGGAGTGTTTGTGAAAGTCTTCCTGTTTGACTGTATTTTCTGTATGCGTTTGCAAGTGAGTGAGTTGTTAGGCAAAAACTTGTCGTTAAAGCTTTCTAAAATTTCCCCTAAGCACCACCTTAAAACTCGTTTTCAAAAGTAGGACATCATTTCTTATCTATTTGTTTCTGTGTATGAAATTATCTGATGCATAGGTGTTCTCTTAAAACTGAGATTCTTCCCAGCTACTTGAAAGGTGACGTGAGAGAATGGTGAGCTCACAGCCGGCCTGGGCAACCTCACAAGACCACCTGGAAGAGCTGGGCATGACGGTGCCATCCGTAGGCCCAGCTACTCAGGCAGCTGAGGCAGGAGGACTGTTGACGTAGCGAGACCCTGTTTGAAAGACAGAAGAAAAACCAAACCCAACTAAGACTCCTGTTGTCTGCTCCTTCCTAGATACTGAGGATTTTGCTTTCAGTTTCTCTTTTCAGTTTGAAATTCAAATAAATATACCTTGGCTGTGAAGTGTGTTCCGAGGTATTTGATTTCTGTGAGGAAAAGACCTTGCCTTATAAAGCTTTTGCTAGGCTATGAATTAATTTTGTTTTTCTTTCTATCTTTTAATTATCCAACTGGCACATAATCGTTTAGAAGGATTAAGGTAGGGCCAGCTGGTGGCACAGTGGTAACCCAGTGCTCTCTGCTGCTGGGCCCATGTGGCATAGTCGCAGGTGCCCATCCCAAGGCCTCTCTGTGCACGTCAGGTGTACACGAGCGAACCTGTGGTCTGGGCTGGTTAGGGCCAGGGGTGGATTGTGGTGTGAAGACCCTGTTGAAGGTGCTGTCTCTGTTTCTCATAGAAAAAACAATTGTTTTAAAAAAAGAAAGATTAAGGTAAAAGCATATCAAATGCACACACTTTCAGACTTTCTTCTATGCAAGTAAATATTTAAATACGAGGTTGAGGGCTGGTCCCATGGCCTGGTGGTTATGAGAGTCAAATCCCACATGGCTAACCATGCAGTTTGAATTGTGGCCCTGTGACTTGAAAAACACACAGGTGCATGCATGTGCATGCGTGCCAAATCCCAACAGATGAAGGAATGGGGGAGAAGGGATTGTGATGTGACCACACCCCGTGGTGGGGTGCTTTCTCCCTCTCTGTCTCTGTCTCTCTGATGAGCACAAGTGCCCTCCAGCAAATTTAAAAAAAAATTAATGATTCTCCACTGTTCTTTACCCGCTCACTCTACTTCATATATTATGAAGATCTTCCGATAGCAGTAGTCTTAGCTCTGTATCTTCCTTTCGATGCATCGAGTAGTATTGTGTTTTATGGATTACCGTAAGTATAAAACCCAATCTCAATTTTCACATGTATTGGCAGCCATTTTACATATTTCCTGAGAAAAATTCAGAAAATCAGATTAAAACGTAGCATGACACAGTGATGTCTCTGACTGGACTGACAGTGTTTTCAAGCTGGGAGGATTCATGTTGTATGTGTGGAGATGTACAGTGATTTAATGTAAACAAAATAAGGAAAAAAACACTTGGCTTGACCATTTACAGCTGCATGGCTTCCCTATTGATCAGCATGTCTTAACGATGTTAAAAGGCAGAGGAATTACTGTACAGGCTCTCAGTCACTGACATATGTTTGTTTTCTTGCAGTCACAAATAAGAAAGCAACTCGACCAGAGGGAAGGGACCATCCGATCTCGGTCTTTCATCTTTAAATAGATCTTTCTTGCCAAGGAATGGCCTGGCCCTGGAGCAAGATGGAATGTACCCTGATGCTGTGATCCCAGCAGGCTTCAGAAAGAAGCTGAGGATTTTCTTTAAAAACTCAGTCAGAAGCAGAGACTATCGGGGACGCACAGGGCACCGAGCTGGCTCACAGAAAGTTGCTGCCCTTCTGAGGTGCTGCCATCTCTTGAGAACATCCAAGTGATGATCATTATGACAGAAATGGGTTAAGTCCCACCCCCAGGTCTGCTGACTCTTAGAACACTCCCTGTAAGATAACGGTTTTTGTTTGCATCCCTTATGGTCCCCAAGCTAGTTGACATTGGTTGCCTGGAGTCCCACTCCGAGTTACAACCAGCTCCTTGGATTCCCTCCCACACTGTGCTTACCTGGGAAGGAAGTCCTTGTAGACTTGGAGAGTTTCTGCTTCTTCAGAAAGTATATGCAGGGAGCAAGCAGCAAAGATCCGGGGAGTGGGTGTTTTTTGCTTTCTTCTTTATACGAGAAACAAAAACAGTTTCCAAAACTAAAATGGAAAATGTTTGCAAGTATTTTCCCTTCTGCAAAGGCTCAGAAATGTAATACACAAGCCTTTCACTTCTAATGCTAGAACTGTGAGAACTAAGTGTGCTATGTCTGATTAGGTAGGACAATAAAGATAAACGAAGGTACAAGGTTAAAAACATCCTTCAACCATTTGGGGGAAACGTTTGAAAGAGTAAGAAAATATTAGTTGAGTGAAGCTGGCAGATGGAGTAGTGGTTAAGGTGCTGGACTCCTATGTGGCTGACTGTGGTTTGAATCCTGGTCCTGGTGGTTTGCTTTCTCACATTCCCTGTCACTCTCTAGTCAGATTTAAAAATGATAAATAGGGACCAACAGTTGGTGTAGTGGCTATGTCACTGGACTCCCATGTAGTCGACCGCAATTTGAGTCCCAGACCTGGTGGCTTAAACTCACACCGGGTGCGTGTGCATGCATGCCCAAGATCCCAAGAGGAGAATGGAGGAGAAGGGATTGCAGCGTGGTCATCACCCTTAGGAGATGATTTCTTGCTTTCTGTGTCTGTCACTCTCTGTCTTTCTGACAAGCGCATGCACCCTATAATAAAAACCCCTCAAAATAAATAAATAGTTCTTTTTAAAAATTGGTTTAGAAAGGGTAATAAAGTAGAAGATAACGTGCAGTTTAATAATGATATTATCATAACTACAAGCGAAATAGAGCACTTGTAAGCATTAAATGATCTTTACCCAATATCTGCAAATGAACCAAAAGAGATTTTCCAAGGAGAGAGTATTCTGACAGTGCCTTTCCCCGGAACTGGCTGTGTAGGGTTCTCCAAGAGACGTAAGAATCGCCTTGTCCCGAGCTCACTAAGCACCCTGTGCCTTATTAAAGAGCAACTTCTATTGCCAGTTGAGGCAGTAACACTAAATCTACATGAAATATGTAAAATAAAGTGTTACACCGATTTTTCAAACTAGAATAAGGGGATTATAACCTCTTCAATCATCTTTATTAATACTGCCTTTTTAGAAAGAAGTTTGAAGGGAGAAAAAATGGATAATGAGCCTGAAAATATAAAGTGTTTGGTGTAAAGCTATGATAAAACACTGCTCTGACAGGTCAAAGAGATACTTTCTTAAACAGGTCTCCTCTATTGTTTAATCTACATTTCAAAAATTAACTTTTAAAAATATTTCAACAAGGCTGTTAATGTATTTTGGTATGTTTGTATTATATGGGATAAGGCCATAGTCAAGTTAAAATGTTTCAAGTTTGCCAGAGTTACAAGTGACTTCTAACTGAGGTGTACAATGTTATGTTTTGTTTTCTTAGAAACAAGGATGTTTGTTTGTGTAGATAATTTTGTTTTTACTGTTTGTAAAACATGTTTATTTATATTCTTTGGTTCTACTGAGTAAAAAGAGCATGATTTTGCGGGCATGTACTATTTTGCTATTAAAGTATGTGTTTAATATTTGTACCTTAAAGAAATACAGCCAATTAATATCAAAAATAGAAATTAAGACTCCACCTCAGTTGGAAGATGAGTCACAGAGGACTGGAAGTTGAAGAAATAATCCCAGACATCGGACATGAATACAAATACATAAGATAGGGCCAGCCCGTGGCCTGGTGGCCAGCGTGGCAGGATTCCACATAGGTGTCTGTGTGGTTTGAGTCCCTGACCCAGCAGCTTGAGAAACACAGCAGGCGCGTGTGCATGCACGCATGCACAAACTCCTCAAAGGAGGGAGAAATGAGAAGGTATCATGGAGTGGCCGAGCCCCCGAGCCCCATGTGAGGTGTTTTCCCACTTTCCCTCTCTCTTTTTCTCTGTTTCTCTCCAGAAGCACATGTGCCCTCTGGCAAATTTAAAAGGGAAAAAGAAAAAAGCAAATCAAGCAAATACTTTCAGAAAAGTGCATAGAGCTACATGGTGGAGAGCGTGCTTC